GGGGCCGGCACACACACACACACACACACACACACACACACACACACACACACACACACACACTCACACACAGTGACCACCCTGTGAACATGGCTGGGGCCGGTCAGTGCACGGTGACCAGCCGGCCACGGGTGCCCGTGAATGGCCGTTCACGGTGACCAGCCAAACGGTGACAGCGCTGTTCCCCCCCCCCCCCCCCCCCCCCTCTCTTCAACAGCTCATCCCCCCACCGTTGCCACAAGCCCCACAACGTGTGGGTACTCTCCTCCTAGTCCTCTTAGTCTCTTGTCGCTCTGTCCTCATCTCTTCTCTGAGTTCGAGACATTCGGAGACCGCATGTATGATGGGCATGGTTTCGTAAACGATTTTCGGAGACATTGATGCTGCGCTGTGTCAGACTTGTATTTCAACATTCACAAGCTTCTCATCGGACTGGGTTCATTGCAATTTGGTATCACAGCGATATCTTCCTTCCTCGTCATTTGCCGGTTGAGGCATTTTGCATGACTACCATGATGCTGATGATGCTGACGTGGATCTGAGGTGATGGCAGTGGAGGGGAAGAGGGGCATTGTCTACTCTGATCACTGCTTGATAACTCACCGGCTGGCTGGACTATTTACTACCAATTATTTACTACCCATTGGCGAGAAGGTTGCTGATGTGGCACCGGGTTAGGGACAGCTGAGAGGTTGCTGACGTGGCAAGGAGAGGAGAGAAGGCACTTGCTGGCACTGGTAGTGGCTTGCTGATATGGCAGGCTTCATAGCACTATTGCTCTTCCCTCCTCTGAAGGTGTTTCTCGCTGACTTGGCATGCTGCCTACCGAACAGGCAGCGCACACATAGGTGTTGATGTGGCACCTTCCTGAAGAACCAGCGAGGAACATAGGATAACATGGCATTCTCCATAGTGCCGCAACGCACGTCCGTGGCACCTCTCAGAAGCGGCAGCGCGTAACACAGATTGATGCGACATTTTCCAAGCGGCATCCCAGTGAGCAGATACGGTTTTGACCAGTATTCCATGGAGCCACATTTTGCAAAAAAAAAAAGAAAAAAAGATGCCCGCAAACATTTCCAGAGGAAAGTCCCGTTTGCAAATGAGAATGCTTCACAATGAACTTGGAAAGTCAGTTGTAAATTCCATGGCCTCACCACAAATGACTTTTCAGTAGTACAGTAAGAATTGAAGACAGGGAGAATTAAATACAGGGTCGGATTTTTTTGAAATCTCTAAGTCTAGAATCTGCTAGTTTCCTGCTTAATGATGTTTTACTCTAAAGGACTGTGCAGGTTCCGCAGCCACGGCCAGTGAGATCAAGACAACACAACAACTGTGATCTCGCAACCATCCACAAGACAACCCACGACAGGTGAGTACACAAAGTCAATCAACATCAACAAAAACAAACCAGTGTTAGTTGTTCTCCTTTGGCTGTCTTCTTGCAGATAGCTGTGTGACCAGACACATGCCCTCGGGCGTGGCACTACAACATATTCTAGTGTAGTACTACCCGCCAGGTCACATATGTGCAAGGTATTATCCACACTAGTCTATCTTTCGGCTTGGCAGCTTGCCACACTCCACATAAACAAAGCCTCAGGGACATGTCAGCAAGATTATGCCATGTCAGCATCAACGGCCAACTAGTCCACTTCTTCATCGGCTATGGATGCTGTCATCTTCTTCTTTGTCACCTCTCTCTTCTCTCACCTTCTTCTTCGTCACTAGTCTTCTCTCCCGTCCTCAGCTATGGTTGTGCAGACAACGGGAACCAGCTCCGATACCACTGCATTTAGGCTCGTCTCTATCTCACGTCCAAGATGCATACATGCAAATGCCGATGGAAAAACAACTTCCTCAGCGCAG